GGTTGTACTCTTTCACCACACTTATTCAACCTGTATGCTGAGCAAATACTGCGAGAAGCTAGATTATATGAAGAAAAATGTGGCATCAGGATTGGAGAGAGATTCATTAACATATCACCTGTGATATGCAGATGACACAACCTTGCTTGTTGAAAGTGAAGAGGACTTAAAACATTTATGAATGAAGATCAAAGAGCATAGCCTTCTATATGGATTACATCTCAATGTAATCCTCAACAATCCTCAACACAAACACAAATCCTCAACAATGAACCAATAAACAAAAGATTGAAGTTTATAAGGACTTCATTCTTCTTGGATTAACTATCATCACACACAGATGCAGCAGTCAAGAAATCAAACGACATATTGCATTAGGTAAATCTGCTGCACAAGACCTTTTTAAAGCATTGAAAAGCAAAGAAGCCAGATTGAGGACTAAGGTGCGCCTGACCCAAGCCATGGTATTTTCAATAACCTCATATGCATGCAAAAGCTGGACAGCGAATAAGGAAGACTGTAAAAGAATTGATGCTTTTCAGTTATGGTGTTGGAGGAGATTATTAAAAGTGCAATGGGCTGCCAAAAGAACCAATAGATTTGTTATGGAAGACGTGCAGTCAGAATGCTTCTTGGAGGCCAGAATGGCCAAACTTTATCTCTCATACTTTGGACATTTTGTCAGGAGAGACCAGTCGCTGGAGAAGGATATCATGTTTGGTAAGGTGGAAAGGTCACAGAAAAAGAGGAAGACCCCCAATGAGATGGATTGGCCAAGTGGCAGCATCAATGGACTCAAGCGTGGCACAGTAGTGCGGTTGGCCCAGGATCAGGCAGTGTTTCGTTCTGCTGTGCATAAATAAGGTCACTATGGGTCTGTACCGACTCGATGGCACCTAACAACAACAAATGGAGGTTAGGGTTTACACGTTCAATCCAATCCATGCCAGGTACTTTTCCTCCCATACTAGGATTCACGGGTCCAGGTATCAACAAGTAAGAACAGGAGTGGCATCGCTCTCTAATCCCACAAGAGATGAGCTCACAAACAGGGAAGGAAGTCCTGACGAGCAGCAGGCCAGAGAGCCGTGGACACTGGACGCACTGTTAGCTGGTCTCTTGTCCGAGAGCTGACTGGGTCTTGGCATCAGTCATTTTCTCACCCAGACTGAACATCTTCCTTCTGTTCCTTCCCACCACGTCACTTGTCTGCATGGGGAAAGACTTTCCACTCCACCTTTAGGACAAGGATCCTACTTGCCTGTGCCTGTCCCTCTAACGAGGAGAAATTCATTGTCCTGCCCTCCGGGTGTGACCACAGGGCCCTTGTGTGTCATTCCTTCCTCCCCCAGTGCACTCCACATACATCTTGGTGGTCCTGATGGTCCCACACCGAGCACAGGGTCTGAGTGGGTGCCATGAACAGTCGGAGCGTGAAGATGCAGACCGAGGGTGCAACAAGGGCCCACACTGACCAAGACTTGCATTCGCACCCGGGTTCCAGTCTGGATCTGACGGGGTGGTGGAGTGCCACCGAGTCATTCCGACTCACAGCAGCCTGTAGTCTCCGAGGAGCGGCTGATAGGTTTGAACTGGTGACCTTGAGGCTATTAGCAGTTCAGTGCTTACCCTACAGCACCACACCAGGACTCAAATCGTGTGTCTACAGACCATTTACTCTGGGGCTCCTTTCCCCATTTTATAAAACAAGAGGTTTACTTTCCGGTGACAGCGTCTCCCAATTCTGAATTGTCTAACTCTGTAATATACAGAGACACAGGGGGAGGAACCACGTGACAGATACCTCCAGGAACAAAAGTTCTACTTACAAACCGTATTCCCTGGGGCATACAGGATTCAAGATACAAATCTAACAACTGTTTGTTTCTTAAACTATACCTACTGCACTACAACAAATGCAGCATTATGAACGATCTGCACACAGCCTCCCCTCTGCTCTGTGCTGAGTCGGGTCTCCCAGAAAGACAGGATGAGGTCTGAAGGCCTGGGACATGTGACTGTGACCTGATTCTGAGATCTGGTCTCTCAAGTTCTCAATTACCCTGCAGTCGTGCCGGGCTAGTACTAGTGTGGGTCCTAATACAATATGAACAGTAGCCTTTTAAAGGATGGGGACACACAGAGGGAGATGAATCATGTAAAGGGGGGGCGCCAAGTGACAGAGACACAAGGGGAGAGGCCATGTGAGAAAGGAGGAGCCACATGGGGGGCCACATGGCAGAGAAGACACAGGGGAGAGGAGCCACATGGCAGACACAGGAAGGAGCCACGTATGACAGAGACACACGGGGAGGAGCCACATGACACACAGGAGGAAAGAACCACGTGGCAGAGACAAAGGGGAGAGGAGCCATGTGGCTGAGACATGGGAAAGAGCCGAGAGACACTGGGGGAGGAGCCATGTGGCAAAGACACGGGAAGAAGACACGTGAGGTGGGGGCAAGTGATAGAGACACAGGGAAGAGGAGCTACATGACAGATACAGGGTGAGAGCCACATAACAGAGACAAGAGGAGGAGCCACGTGACAGTAGAGACGAGTCACATGATGGCAACACAGGGAGAGGTGTCTGGTGACAGGAGCCACGTGAGGACAGAAGTGGAGGCTGGACTTATCTAGAAAGGTCTTCATGACACCAGAAGCTGACTCCTGGTCTGCGGCACAACTGTGGGAAGAGGTGCCACCAGATCTGCTAGTGGGAGCCATGACTTGGCGTCCTTAGTTCTGGCGATGGTGGGCATCCCTAGCACCGTTTCATTGCATTTTCCACCAACAGCCTCCACCCTCTGTCGCCCACTCAGGCCTGCACAGTTCGGCCGGTAAATTTCACCCACAACCTCTAACCCCAACAGGTTCGGTGTTAGCTCCCCAGGGCTCTCTGTCTGTTTATTACTATTTTCTTTCTGTCTTTATTGCTTTCCTTACTGATCTCAGTTGGCCGGTGGCATTATTTAATTTTTTAAAATCCTCATAAAACTCAACACATAAAGTTAGGTAATCGCAGCCACGTAGCTATTATCGGCTCCCTGCCATACGTGCTGGCTGAGTCTGGGACCCCGTGGCTCTTTCCTCAGGCACTCGATGGTCACGTCCACTCTTGGCTGGATTCCGTGACCCCTGGGTGGGCTGTTTCTGAAGCGCCAGGGTCGGGCTGGAGCAGTGGGAAGAACTTTGGAAGCCGTAGGCGAACTCTTGATCCAAACCAGGAAGACTCACCTTGTGGGCAGGCACGAGGTTGACCAGCACCGTGTCCAGGAGCTCCTGCGACACCGTGTCCCCCTCACAGATGATGGAGCTCATGAGGTCCACCATGTGCATGTGGACCTTCTGGTTGTGGCCATTGCTGAAATGCAAAGTGAGTTGTGTTACCAGAAATGTGACCACAATCTGCGAGGACTTAGCCACCAGTGTGATATTTATCAAAATTAAATCCCTACAGCATTTGCTGTAACTTACTGGAAACTTCTCTCCCAAACCATACAACAGGTTCAAAATACACTTTCAGCTGCATTTCCTTGTTACTTCACCCGAATTTTAAACATAAGTCTAGTCTTCAACACAATCGAAAGTGACCCAATCAAATGTAGCTTCAAGCTCTTCTTAAATGACAAAGCCAAATGGCTATGCCACTATTCACTGAGGCAAGTGTTTGTAAATACCAAAAAAGTTCAAGTATTCACAAGACTTAGGGAATCAAAATATCTAATTAAGAGAGATTAAAAAATAACACTACAAAAAAATATTTCATATTGGCTGTCAAAATTGCTTTTGTCAGTCTTTCGACCAATTAAGTCATTACAACACAAAACTATAAATTCCATTCTTTTTAAAACATGTATGAGAATAATTTTAAGTGAATTTTTCAATTAGAACTCTTAGCCTTTCATCCACCATGAAAAATACCAGAAAACAGAGCAAAAAGCACACTGCCATCAGTCCTGACTCAGAGGACCTCGAAGGCTGTCAGCTCAGGTTAAGAGACTGCCTGGTCTACCTCCCGACTAGCACTGGTGGGTTTAAAGGCCCACCTCTCAGTTCCCAGCCAAGTGCTTAACCACTGTGCCACCAGGGTTCCTTACAACAAACACACTTTATGTGAATTCACTTCTAAGTTAGAAATTCCTTACATTTTTTTAAATGCTAGTAAATAAACTTACTTTATAACTGAAAATAACGTTCTGTAAAGCTGGGTAAAAATTTCATTGCTGTCTTCTAACTCGAAGCATATGTTATACGACTTGACCCAAGCAATGTTCTATAAATGAGGTAAAAAAGGTGAAAGATAGCAACACTTTAATTAGTCAAAACAGCCAAGCACAAAAGTCCGCTTTTAAATACTGTGACTTCAAGATATGATATATTACTTACCTCGAGTAAATAAAAATACCTATTGAATTGTGGACTCTTTGTATCCTCTAGTCCCTTCAACTGCCTTGTTATAAACATAAATATGTCCTTAAAGAGAGAAGACACAGTGCTGTTTAGAGTCTCCAGACTAAGAACATACCCTAACCTCCCAGAGCTCATTCAGCACACACATGCAGAGCGATATCACAGATGTATTTATAAGATTCTATTTGGCTGTCAGTTTTTTTAAAGTAGACCTTCACCTGAATCACCATAAATATCTTATTACACGGCCTTCACAGGAAACCAGAAAATCATTTACCTTGCTCTCAAAGCAGAGAATGACAAACTTCATCTTAGAGCAAATTAAACAAACAGGCCTGAAAATGAAGTCACCTAGAGTCTATGCTACCAAGTGCTGTTGCTGTTACATGCCGCCGAGCCGCTCCAACTCACAGGGACCCTGTATGGGACATCCCAGGCTGTCAGTCTTTAGGGAAGCAGAAAGCTGCAACTTTCTCCTGCTGCTGGGTTTGAACTGCCGACCTTGTGGTTAGCAGTCCAGGGCTGGCTCTGTTGTTAAGTACCATTAAGTCGGTTCCGACTCATAGCAACCCTGAAGGGTTTCCAAGGAGCAACTGGTGGGTTCGAACAGTCAACCTTTCAGTTCAAACTGACTTTGCACTTGAGTGCTTATCCTATAGCGCCACACCAGGACTCCAGTAGAATGAAAACTGCTACAATGACAGAGATCTGGTCAGGTTTTCTGAACAAGATACATGAATGGGTTTCAAAGAGTTTGTGGAAAACAGAATTAAAAGATACTAAGAATTCCCACAAACTTTTGAAGGCCTTCCTGTAGTCATTATATAGCACGGCTAAACCAATCACACCCACAGCCATCAAGTTAATGCTGACTCCCAGCAATCCTGTGTGGGGTTTCCATGTCTGTCAATCGTTATGGGAGCAGACAGCCTCAACTGTCTCCTGCTGAGTGGCCAGAGAACTGCCGGCCTTGTGCTTCACAGCCCCACACCTGACACAGAGCGCCACCAAAGCTCCTGATAGCAAGGGTAGCAATGAAAGAAACTGAAGATTCCAAAATGAAATTGTCAAGTAAAAAGGCAATAATGACACAGCTTAGAAATTGTAGCGCACCCTTCAAAAACCACTGTGGAGCTCCTCTACCTAATCCTTGTGGTTAAGTGCCGTCAAGTTGTTTCCAAAGCAGTGGCTGATGGGTTTGAACCGCCAACCTTGTGGTTTTGCATTCCAGTGCTGGTCCTACAGCGTCACACTAGGGAGTCCCACATTTACCAAATGGATAAATCATGGTGGCCCCCGACTATCCCAGTCTTGTGTTTAGGTGGCTTTGCTTACAACCGCCACTACACCAAGCACTGCATGTCCTTTCTGTCTTTCCATGAAATGTCTGTCTGGTGTATTTTCTTCAAGGCAACCCACATCAGAGCTTCCATTAAGTGAAGTGAGATTCATGTACTACAAGCAGAGTCTCACACAGGACTAGTCTCTTCTACACAGTGAGTGTGGTACTCAATGCTAGGGTTCAGAAGGGAAACCGGATCATCTTCCACATAGCACTAGAGGAGACAGAGCTATCGGTGACCATCGTACAAGGACAGACTACCCCATCCTAATCTATTTCTTGGAGTCCTGGGTGGTGCTGTAGGATAAGCACAGGACTGCTAACCGCAAGGTCGGTGGTTGAAACCCACCAACAGATCCTCAGGACAGCCTCGACGGCATGTAACAACCACCAACAAACCCTCATGCTTAGCGTCAGACACCACTGTGTAAACAAATGTTCTCCGAAGCAGACACTGACTAAGAAAAGGCAGCTTCAGCTGATGACAACAAACACTTGAGCAACCAGCGGACTTAGAGAGGGGGTGAAGGCAGCACTCCATCTCGGTACTCACCTTTAGTTTATCGGGGGATGTGTAAGGCGCTTCAGGAGCATAGATCCTGAAAATATCAGCGAGGCAGCAGGCTACGAGTAAGCGGACATCTTTGTCAGGATGTTTGAGAAAAAAGTCTGAAGCCAGATGTAAGGCAAGGTTTAGATAAAGCTCCTTTTCTTCTTCAGAGTCCTGGTCCATGTCCATGAAAGTTTTCACAACCATCTAGAGATTTAAAAAAAGCAAAATTCCATCAGACACCAAAATCCTCTACATAACAGCAGTCATTTGGAATAAAGGCCATTCTCCTAGTAATGTCCAATAAACAGACCTTCTTCTCCCCGTTGAAAGTGTCCATTTGGGAGAAGCAAGTCCTTCTAAAACTACAGGGGCAACAACTTTCCATGTAAGAAGTAAGCAAAACCTTTTTCTTTTCCGTACTGTTGCTGCTAACTAGGTTGTTATTTTAAAGTTAGCCTTATGCAGCCGTCATTACTGGGGGAATTCTAGTATTTCTTGCTATTTCTGGTCTCATTTACACAATTGGACTAAAATTAGTACTTACTTCTTGAAAAGTGTCCATTTTTCAAAATGTCCAAACCTCTCGTTGTTGTTGTTAAGTGCTAACGCAAAGTAACCCAGTAAAGGGTTTCCAAAGAGCGGCTAGTGGGTTTGAACCATCAACCTTGTGGTTTACAGTTTAGTGCTTAGCCTACAGTGCCACACCCTGAAGACAAATCTAAGACAACATTTTTATTTTCTCTATCTGAGCTATAACTACTCAGACATATGGTTTTATACATTCAAGAGCCAGCACCGTTCTAAACATCACCATTCTACCATGGCATGAGGACCCTAGCATCCGGCAGAGGATTTCTTGAGGTGCAGTGAAAGGGAATAGGATGTGTCCAGTGGGTTGGCAAGGCTCCATGGCACATATGGGAAATGCCTAGCTCAAAAACGTCTACATACAAAGAAGTGGGCTGGAAATAAGCATGGTAAGAAATGGTGCCGTTGAGAAACTGAGAACCAGGCTCTCTCTGCTCACAGCCTTCCTGTCAGACGGGTGGCACTTCCTACTTGAAATAAGAGGGACAAACTTGCCTAATTTGACAGGAAAGAGAGGGTGACCTCCAGACACCCACTAGGTGGTGCTGCAAATACTCAGCAACAAGTAGGGCAGGCCACTCAGGACCAAGGTCTAAGCCTTGTTCCTTCAAACGTGAGACAAGGACTTCCACTGAGCTTTGTGAAGCCTCGGAGCAGCCCAGCAAGTCCCTGTGCTCCACTGAGCCAGGTGCAGAGGCAGCAGTGGGCCAGCCTTCCTACCTGGCACTAGCATTGGACTAGTCTCCTAAGTTGACCTGGTCCCCGCTAAGCTGCATGTTTTCATGGCCTAGGTCCGTTATGAAAAGCAACAAGCAACTAGCAGATTCAGCCACAGGAAAGGATCCTTTTTCTAGAATCTCTTTAAAACAAAATGAGGGATGAAATATATTCTGAGTAAAATATTATGGGGAAACTGGAAATTCCATAAATGATGCCACCTTGTATGTTAACAAACTTATAATTTACACAGCTTACGACGCATCTACTTGTATGTACTTGTATCTTCCCATAGAAGATACCTCTCTAGAAAGGATGCTAAAAGTAGTGGGCAGTGTTAGGAAACAATTAATAAATGACTGGTGCTGTGGGATAATGCGATGGCCCGCAAGACTGGCGGTTCAAACTCACCAGCTGCTCCTTGGAAACCCTATACAGGGGTCACTATGAGTCAGAACCGACTTTATGGCACTTAACAACAACCAGGTATAAGTGTCTGTAAAGTATACACCAAAATCTAAACAATTCCAAGACTAATAACATTTGCTCACGGGCCACATAATGACACTGAGTTGTGGACACTACTGTCCACAGCTCAGATAGTGTGTGGTTATGTACTACAGAACAAAACCCTCCCCACAACAGATGGTCTGCCTGAGCCCACTGCGGCAGCCCCTGTGTCGGTCCACCGCCTTAGGGTTTTCTGTTGGTCGTTGGCTCTCTACTCCTTCGTGCTTAAAGCCAAATTGCTTCTGTTACTGGCAACCAAGAACACGCTGGCTGGTGTTAGGGGCCATCAAGTCCATTTCAACTCCCAGTGACCCTACGTACAATGGAACAAAACACTCCCCAGTCCTGTACCATCCTCACAGCCTGTTCTATGTCTGAGGTCACTGTGCCCATCGCGTTGGGGTCTTCTGTTTCTCTGACCCGCTGATTTGGGAAGCACAGTATTGTAAGACTCATCAGTAACACAAATGTAAGTCCTCTAAAAGCAAAGACAATGGGGAGTTAACATCTGCAGAGGACCACCAAACCTAACCACTGCTGCCTGTCAATCCCGGCTCCCAGGCACCCTCTAGGACAAGCACAACTGTCCCGTAGGTTTCCAAGGCTGTCATCCTTACGGAAGCCGGCAGTCTCATCCTTCTCCCACAGAGTGGTTGGTGGGTTTGAAGCACTGACTTCTTGGTTAGGTGCTGGGCACTTCAGCACTAGACCTCGGGGTTCCTTCATCCAAAAGGGCAGGGACCACTCATCTGTTTGTAACTGCAGGCTCTGGCTGTTTCACGATTAGTTTCTTAGCTAATAATAGGGAGGTCACTTTTGAAATATAAGCAAATCTGAGGAAATGAAAGTGTATTTATTCACTTTCCTAAAAACTCAAAACGTCAAGAAAATTGCAAATATACAGAAAATGGAAAATGTCATCTAAGCGGGGTCTGCAATAGAACTTTTTAATGAAGTGCACGCCTGTTCCCGAGTAGATACACTGACTGGCGAAGTAGATCTGCTTAGAGAAACCTTTCCTCAGCAGACACACACCTAAGATTTGACACTGCTGTGTTATGCAGCGACGAAGAGGACAGTACTTATGTGCAATGTGTACCAGCGTATTGGGATCTTTTTCTTCTCACAGAAATATACCACGTAGCGCAATGGCTATAAAACAGAACTTTTAAGACTCCTAGTCTTTCCAAGACTAACTATGTGGTCCGTCTTGAATTCCAGGTAAGTAACAATAATACATAAAGCCACATAAATGTCCAGGTAGAAACAAACCTACAAGGCTGAAAAAATACTCAAGCATAGAGAAGTCTCCTCCAAGCTAACTGGTAAGCGGCTTAGCATTCTCCCTGGCTGCTGTTCTCCTGCAGCAATCTGGCCAGTCAGGGAAAGGTGGCCCATTCTAACAGGCAGAGAGCCCGGGCAGCCTCCATGCTGTGCTGTAACGTCAGAGGCCAACCGAGAAGCTCTCAAAATCAGTACAAGCCTGGGCTTCCTTTCTCAGATTCAAGGAAATCTGGTGGCACTGTGTGGGTGCTAAGCATTTGGGTTGTCAGCCTCCAGGTCAGTGGTCCAAACCCACGGGAGAAAGCTGAGGCTGCCTGCTCTCTTACACATTTAGTCTTGGAGGCCCTACTCTCTCTGACACGATCCCGCTGAGTTGGAATCGGAGCCACGGCAGTACGTTTGATTTTGAGGTTTGCTTTCGTCAGATTCAGATGGAAAGAGGAGAAAGGAGGCAGTGGTTCACAGGGCCAGCGAGGGGGCTTAGAGGATCTAGAACAGTTAGTCTCTACCTTTCCAGGGGGCTCTCCGATACGCCTCCAGACAGGAAGCCCCGCCCCCTTCTCTTCCTGGCCCTGCCCCTGACAGTTCTCATTGGCTGTAGGTTTTGTCAGTTGCCCCAGCATTTGCTTTTTGCTTTTATCAATCAGAAGTTTGCATTCTGTTGCTGGCAACCAAGAGCTTTGGTTTGGAGTAGCAGGATACACTCCTCACCTCAAACGCTGCCCAGAACTATGACCCCAGTCGACTTACCTTCAGCCGTCTCACCATCTCCTCTTTGGAAATTTTGTCGGAGATTTCCTTGACACCGGGAGGATAAGTAATCTTCCCATCGTTCGTCCTCGACTTTGAATGAGCCATGATGGGACTGTGTCCACCCTGAAACAAGGAAGAAGGGGCGTGGACTCAACAAGGAAAAGACGCACGCACAACGCTCACCGCACGCACGCAGAAAAGGCAGCCGACGCCCCCAAATAATTTACAACCATGTAGTTTACGCGACTTTACTTATTAATGAATATCACTCTGGTGCTGCCCAAAATTTAAAAGAAAAAAACTTATTTAGTCTTTATCTCTAATCCACTTCCATTCATACTAATGACCCTCCAACTAAATTTTAAAAAATTAAAAAATGCTAGACAAAAGGGGGGAAAAATCGAAATGCTTATTCTCAATGGCATGCAAATGACAAATTGGGCCAAACTCTGAGAAACCAGGAGCCTGGAGAAGTCAGTGGGGCCCTGGGGCACTACACAGCCACTTAGTCCTGAGTGCGGGCCAAGTCTGGCACCCCAGGAATTCTGTTTTGGGGAGCCCTGGGGTGGCCATGCAGAATAAGCGCAGGACCACAAGGTTGGTTTGAACCACACGTTCAGCAGTTCAGGCTCACCAGCCACTCCTCGGAAACCCTATACAGGGTCACATTGAGTCGGAACCGACTCAACGGCACTGAAGAGCATAGGGAAGGGGGACAAAAGTGCATCTGGGCTCATCAAGGTGGAAAGGAAACTAAGAGAGCCCCCAGCTACTAATGAGGAAGACTATGGTTCTCCTGTAGCGCAGCGAGTGACAAGTTGGGTTGAAAACTACGAGAGAAGCAGCTCAAATCTACTAGCTACTGCACAAAGGGAGCATTCTGTTCCCATAAAGATATACTAGCTTTGGAAATCCTATACGGGGTCACTAAGAGGCCAGACCAACTGGACAGCACACAGCCACCACCATCACAATTTGACCTTCCCACTTTCAGGGGGCAGCAGAGAAGCCACCTGGGCACCAAGCAGGGCAGTGATGCGTTCTATCCAGGGAGAGACAGCTCATGAGTGCTAGTTTGCTGAGGTTCCATGACAAAGTTATGACTAAGTTCCCATATATAAGTTCAAATATATGACTTCACCATCCCAAACTGGTAATGGACCCAAGCACATAAGAGAAGGAAGTTCAAGTTCTGCCTCAAAGAGGGTACCTTGATGCTTCACCTCAAAGAATGCCAAGAATGGTGAGCAGCACCCAGTGGAGATGACCCGGGCTCTTAAGGAAACAAAGCACTATCGGCAATACCCATCGAGATACCAAACACGGAGCATACTCACAAAGACATTCCATATTAGAACTACTAAACAGATTATAAAGTTGCTTTATAAAAAGTTCATTTTTACTTTACATAGAATTTTAAAGAAATAATAGACAGCTCTGAAAATATATGCAAGAAATTTTTTTTAAATCAAGAGTAAACGTAAAGCTTTAGGACTCCTAAATATGAACACCTGCAATAAAGAGACTTCCTTATAGTAGGCTACGCGTGAGCTAGTGAGCTGGAAGACAAGGCAGAAGAGATTACCCGGCACACAGCACAAACCAAACAAGAAAACCGAGCTCACTGAGTCAACTCCACAGAGCACAGCTGAGAGATGTAAACACTGAAACTACAGAAGGCCAGCAAAAAGGTCCACCTGCAAACTATGATTCACAGCAGTATCACAAGAAAAAGCACCCGGAGACAAGCGTAAAATCCAATCCACAAGGAGAGAAACTAATCCTAGTTACTTTGGAAACAACAACACTTAAACTAACAGGTGACTTCTCAACACTAATAACTCAAGTCAAAAGACAGGAAAATGTCACCATTTTCAAAAGCAGAGCAAAAGAAGGGTACCATAGCCCAACAAAAACTGAGAGCGATAAGAAGAGATATAACAACATAGTAGGAAGCACCTAGAATGCCATTTGGCATATACTGGTTTTGTTGTTGTTAAGTGTCATTGAGTCGATTCTGACCCATAGTAACACTGTGTAGGGTTTCCAAGGAGCAGCTGGTGAGCTTGAACCGTCGACCTTGCGGTTCAAACTGACTTTGCAGTCCAGCACATTAACCCACATCGCCACGCCAGGACTCCTGGCATATACTAGGTTCTATATAATGTGTATCTGTGACCTATGGACCAGAGCAAAAGATCAACATTCTAAAAATCATGTATACAGATCTTACAAGACACATAACGGAAGCAAACATATAAAATGTTCAGAAATAAAAATATGGAAAACACTAACCAAAACAAAGTCCGGAATGTAAGGATGAGTAATAAACAAAGAAGTAGGCCCCAAGATCCACCTGACAGAAAGAAAGAAAGAACATTTTCACCAAAAGACATACATGAGAATGTTCATAGCAACATGGTTCATAGCAATCCAGACCAGACAAGAATGCTACCAATGCCCACCAGTACAGTGGAATGAACAAGGAGGTTCCAGTATTTTCACACAATGGAGTCCTGGTGTGGTGCTGTGAGTTCATGCACTGGACTGCAAAGCCAGTTTGAATCACAAGGAAGGTTGGCAGTTCAAGCTCACCAGCCACTCCTCGGAAACCCTATACAGGGTTGCTAGGGTTAGAACCAATTCGACAGCACTAAACAACAACCTAAGAATAAACAAATGACAGCCTCACACAAAAACATGGACTGGCACAGCAAACAACGTTGAGTGAGCAAAGCCAGATGAAAACCCAGTTGGTGTATGATTGCACTTCTATAAGTGCCCAAAAAGAGGGAAGCCTAACCCAAGACTGCAAAGTCAGGGTAATTAATAGCTTGAAGGGAGATGGCAGCTGAGAGGGAAGAGGGAATTTCTGGGGTGTAGGCATGATTCTACTACTCCATATGTGTCTGCTTACTTACAAATGTTTACTCTCTGCAAAGCCATTTACACTTTAAGAATGGAGTGTGTTGTTGTAAATGTAAAGGTAGGTGTTTTGTAACAAAAGAAAGGGAGTGGTTGATCTTGCAGTCCAGGAGCGAGGACCCTAGGACCAACAAGGGAGATGAGCAGAGTGCGAGACCCTACCCAGAGAAGCAGTGATGCCAGAGATGGAGGCAGAGACGATGACGTGGAGAGATGGAGTGGCTGGGGACTCTAGACTCAAGGAGGGAGAAGGGCTATGTGCTGACCGCCAGGGGGCTGGCATGCAGGATATACCCTTTGGTTGTTTGAATGGTTATAAATTCCTGAGTGCTTCAGTGTACAAACAAACAAAAACCAGAGGGAATGGAAGCAAATGCTGTTGAATGATGATGCATGGAGGGGATTGTAGTCATTGCAATGAAAGGAACTAAGATAGGATGAATGTAAATTATCACTCAATTCACAGTAAAAACTTTATTTTAAAAAAAAGAATGGAATGTAGGCCCTGAAAAGTTCACAGGGGGGTGACGCTGACGCAGTCTGAGCAGTCTCAGGCAAGAGCAGACACACACTCATCGAGAGGACCAGCCACGGGGACAGAGAGATGGAGCCATGCAGCAGGACTCTGAGTCCAGCTGTGAGGCGCAGACAGCAGGCTCCTCTTATTGTAAGCACCCACTCTGTGACCCTTTGTTACTGTAGTCCCAAGAAACAAGTAAAACCATATATGCATTTCTAGCTAATAGATACATGTGCATGCATGCACACATGCGCAGACACACATTGCTGGTGAATGCCATCAAGTTTTCACACACATAATGACCCCATATAGGGTTTTTAACACTGATTCTGTGGTGAGCGATCCAGTGCTTATCGTATAGTGCCATAGCAGGACTTGAAGAACCACTCCAGAACTCCATATATGCACACACACACACACACACACACACACATTGTTGTTATTGTTCTTAAGTACCGTTGAGTCTATTCCAACCCATGGCGACCCTGTATGGGGCTTCCAAGGAGCAGCTGGTGAGCTTGAACCACCAACCTTGCAGTTCAACCATCAACCTTGTAGTCTGACACATTAGCCCACAGCACCACACCAAACTCTGTGTTCAAATACACAGGTAGCTCCCAATTGATGATGTATTCACATTACAACAAACTGTACCCAGGACTGTCAGGTGTGTTTGTTTCATGTGGTACGGTTAGTAACCATGCACCACATACAGTCCTACACCAGGTAATCCGCCCATGGTGTCATACCTGCAAGCCCGTATGTAGTGTTTCTAGCCCCCAAAGGCAGGTAGTTGTTGTTGTTAAGTGCCGTCAAGTCGGTTCCGACCCATAGCGACCCTGTTTAGGGTTTCTGAGGAGTGGCTGGTGAGCTTGAACCACCGACCTTGCGGTGGAAACGGCTTTGCAGTCCAGCGCATGAACCCACTGACGACAAAATGGCAATAATAATGCAAACTAAAAATACAGTCTTTCCACTAAAGTACTCACCTTATGTCAGAACTGACTGACAATGGAGTCATCAGAACCATCAGAATGGACTACTGACAGATAGCTGGATGACAGACAGACAGACTGTGTGTGTCGTGGAGTGGAGCTGTAGGATAAGTACAGGACTGCTGGCCACAAGGTCGGCAGTTCAAACCCACACAGTAGCTGCTCCTTGGAAACGCTATATAGGGTCACTGTGAGTCTCAACAGTTTGAACAGTACTTAACAACAGCTTATATACAGCAACAGGCATCTCTCTCTCTAGTGTTGTTGTGAAATGCCGTTGCGTGGGCTGTGCCTCACAGAGACCCCTACATAGAGTTGCCGAGGAGCAACTGGTAGGTTTGAACCACTGACCGTGGGTTAGCAGTCCACAGTGTTTATCCTAAAGCGTCACCAGTTAGACATTTCCTGGGTGCATCATATTACATAATTATAACTATTATATTACTGCAATAAAATGCATTAATTATACGGGGGAGGCTTCAAAGAATTCACGGGGAAAGGGACTGAAAAGACTGGAGCTTTTCCACGTGCCTTCTGAAGATTCCTGTGAGGGAATCTGCTCATGTGGGGGGGGGTGTGAGTCCTTCCTACGGCTTCTATACACATACCTCAAAGTCAAGTCTTAGAAAATAAACTCTATTTGTAAAAACTAGCATTTAAAAAAA